TTTGCCATATGGTGCCCATGACATTTTGAGAGCCGCTGCTAAGAGCTACTTCACCTTCATTAGCCTGGATGCCATATCTTCTGCAAGCCAAGAGATAAAAAGACCAGGGTCATCGGTTCCCCTAGTTGCAATCTTAACAGTTACTTTAATAACAATAATGTATTGCGGAACTACTGTTATCTTCACCTTGGCAATACCTTTCGATGAAAAGAGCGGTTTCGCGCCCCTCGCTAAGATCTTTCGCGTTATTCCAGGGGCTGACTATGCCGTTGCTATTGGAGCAATTTCAGCAACATCACATGGTTTGATCTCGTGTTCGCTGGCGGCACCTCGCGTTTTCTGCACTATGGTTTTTGATGGCCTTCTGTTTGGCTTTGCTTGTATTGATGAAATATCCAGTCCCTTAACAACAATTTCCATTGTCCATGGTGTGTTCAGTGGATGCTTGGCAGCTTTGTTCTCCACAGAACATTTGGTATATTATGGCTAACTTTCTTTATTATTGTTGTTGTTGTTGATATTATTTTTCGTTTGCATGCTTTTCATTCCACGCAGTGTGTACTTGCATACAGAAATCTTTGCCTCCAAGCAAATCTCTACAGCTTTGTTTTTTCCTTGATAGACAGTTCTTTGACACCCGGCTCTACACAACTATTTGCGTCAAAATTACATCTTTGGACATAGTTTCTCTGGTTAAAGTAAGCAATCGTAAGATACGGTGTGAGTGTATCAGGGGGCCGCGATTATGAGAGTCCTCGCGGTACAGTAATCATCCCGGCAAGCTCTTGAATATAGTGCTAACACCATGTTTTTTTCTGTCGTATCATTTTTGTCATGTGCCTATCAGAAAAATGTTCATGAAATTCCGTCCCAGTTTAGTCTGATTCGTACCAGAAAGGGGTTGCTCGTTGTCTGATTAACAGTGATACAGTTTCTTTTCCCACGAGTAATATTTTCTTACATCAAGATTATATTTCCCACGAGTAATACTTCGCAATCACGGTAAGCTCACACTTGCATGGCTCTTGAAGAGTTGCTGTAGAGGTGTCTTGTTAACACAGAATAATCGTAATAAAGACAAGCTGCTTAAACTTGTGGTGGTATCAAAATGATTCTGGTATAATTGAAATACCTCACAGGCCTCAAAAACAGCCCTGATCCTTTCTGTTGAATATCACGTCTTTATTTTATTTCACAAACAATCATAATATAGCTGAATTACCTAGAATTTCTGTCTCCGAGCTGGGTGGTACATTTGATATCACTGAACATCCCATCAGGTGTTGCATTCTTTTCAGATTGAGCTTCTCTCAATTGGCACCCTCTTGGCTTACACCTTGGTTGCTATTTCGATCTTAATAGCACGTTACCAGCCTGGTGTGGAAAGTCAAGTGTACGGGAAAGCAGCTAAGCTTGAACGAACAAACGAGTGGCTGAAGTCAATCACATTGGAATCACGATATCCACCTCCATTCTTCGATCAATCAGAACATGAGAAAAGTGACATCCAAAAAAGTAACACTAGGAAAAAGCCTAACACGATGACACGTGATAATGCCACCTTTGCTGTATTTTTATTGGTTCTCAGTCTTTCATGCCTCGCCGCTGTCCTCATGACTATGTCAAATGGCATCCTAAAGGGGGAGAGCTGGGCATTCTTTGCTGCTGGCATGAGTGGAGTTTTTATAGTTGCTGCTGTTACATTCCTAACGCGACAGCCTAAGAACCATGCAGAGTTTCCTATCATGGTGCCGTGTTCTCCCTGGCTACCAATCATCACCATTTTTGTTAATATACTTCTGATCTCCGGGTTGGATTATTTGTCTTTTGTACGATTTGGCGCGTGGCTAATTCCAGGTAATATAATCTCGAGGACACTTCTTTTTCGAACGTTTTTATAGTGACTTACCGCTTTACCGACTTCTTGAGTTTCTCTGATTTTTAATAGTCATCTTCCCAACAAGAAACGAGTACCGAGAAAATTTAACCCATATATAGCTAGCACGCGACACACGGAAGGGGTTGGGCGGAAAATGTGACGGCCTTAAGCCCCTACTGTCGCAACGAGCGATTACAATAATAATGATGATGATGATATAACTATAGGTTGATGATGCGAAAGCAAAGAAACAATTTGAAAATTACAAATACATTTGCAATCTTTGGGTCGTTCCTGTGCTTTTTTTTTGTGGAAATCAATGGTACAAACAAGCATTGACATTACTAAATCTCTAAGACAACAATTCTTGGCGTCCTATCCCATGATCTGTGATCTCCAATGGGACAACAAAATAACAAGGAGAATGAGCCCAGAACGGATGGTAGAACCGATGCCGATGTTTCGCTGTCTCGCTCTCAACGCTATGTATGCTCTACTTAATGCCCAAACGAAAGTCTGTTCTGCAATTATCTAATGAAACTCCTATTCTTGGAAAGTAAGATGGTTACGTTTTTTTTACAGCTATAATTTGTACTATTCCCTTCAGCAATTTTTTCTAAGTGAATAATTTCATTTGATCGTCTATTTTTTTCCATGTTACAGGACTGATTATCTACACTTTATATGGATACAGACGAAGCAAAGAGGCGCTCAAACCGAAGAAATCAACCGAGGGTGATTTTATTTTGTTCGAAAATCCTGACGTGGATGCAAGCTTCAAATACATTCAACCAAAAAGAAAACGTGACAAGCAACAAAGCGGGAACTGACGAATTTGTGGGAAATTTAAGAGGCGTATGGGGCGGGTAGGGCGCGTGCGGGCCGGATGTGCAGTGATAGCTGACCTAAATCGAATCTGATAGACCTCCACATGCATGAGTTGATGTGTGACGAGCTTTGTACAAAGGAAAAATCACTGTGGGTCGACTGAGCCCCAAATCCTCCATTCTAGACGTCTATCCCGGAGGCGTTGGAAGAATTACAGGCCCTCTGATTTGTCTAGGAAACTGACGCCACCCTCTCAGCCAATCACATGCAACACAAGTACCAATCGGGAACCTGTCGCTTGCATTTTCTCCAACTTGGGGTCTTGAACTCAAACTTCTGATCGGCCGTTGTAATTACTTCGAGTATGGTTTTACGACACTTTCGCTCTAAACACGATCTGGCCTCATTACATTGCATTGTCTTCAGTCAAATTAAGGTCAATATTGACTTAACATTAGCCACATAAGTGTCGCCAAATATCTAAACTTTTATTCTTTGCAGAGAAATTACCAACATTCAATTTTTCTAAAAGAGGTTCTTTAGACAAGACCCGAGGATAATTTTCGATGTGTCAAATACCTAGATCTTAATATTGACGACCATTTCAACTAGAAACAAAAAATATTTTTGAAATTACCGGTAATATATTAGTAAGTGATAGCAAGCTGTCTAAGCTTAGGGCCCAGTTATTCCAAGGGCGAATGACGCTTTCCAACGGATAAATCACTATTCAGTGGATAAGTGTTAACAAAACGTACTGTGCTATTCACTGGATAGAGATTTATTTAGTGGATAGCATTATCCACCCTTCGATTAACCGTGACCAGCATATTTTTGTCTCTGGCAACATATGCTAAAATTATTTTATTTCCAAGTAGATCCCTTTCTTAGCAATGGCTTAGTTTTCTTTGTAATACCTTTTCTAAATATTCCTTTTATATTTCCCCATAAACGTAGTAATTTGCATGAGTTTGTTCCATCGTTATCGGGAACTTTTTTCTCTTTTCATAACTTACTATTTGTCGCGTATTAATTGAAACAGTTTTCAATCAAGTGTCGAAAAACCAAAACCAAAGTATCACAGCAACCAATCATAACAAAGGTTAAGACCAGCATTGACCAATGAGAACCAAGCGAGCAAGAGAAGACTTGATTCTCTCTCGTGAAAATGCAGAACAAAAACAGGAAACTTACTTGAAGCGAGGGAAAACGCGAATGACCAAGTTGAAGTTGGTTTTAGTTTGCATTTGATTGGTTGACGTGGTGGCGCGAGTTTCTTAGACCAATCACAGAGCGAAATAAAGCAAAATCACTGCAACCTGGGTAATGTTATAATTTGCTTTAATTCCATAACCTCTTTGTTCTTTTTACAGTCTTGAATTTTACTACCCGTGCATATTATAAATTTTTCTCGATTGCTTTAACCACTCGGCTATTAAGACTATACACTTCCAAGTGCCTTAGAGTGCTAATTTAAGTTAATTTTGGTCCCTAAAATATTTGTTCTGTGTATTGTGGAAAATAAATAGTAGTTGGCTTTTGTTGGTTACTTGTTGTTGCTGCTACATTGATTTTGGATCTGGGTCGAGATCTGTTTTCAGTTTGTCTTGAGAAACACGCAGTATGTCTTCAAACGATGTTGCAAATAAATAGTTAGAGCTGCCGGACCAAAACATTTTTCTAGGTACATTGAAAGCTTATAATGAAAATGAAAATTCCATATTTCTTTCCAAGTTTCGCTTTTTTGGTTAGTTTTCAGTTTTTTTTTCTTCAAGTCTTTCATGTACGATTGTTATACCTTGATATACCATGCCCTGCTGGGGGAAAATTATCTCAGTAATGGTAAAGATTGTCTTATTATGAACCATTTGATACTTATGGTAATTTTTTTTTAAATTTATAAACGTAAATTAAATGACATTAATCCAACATTAGGATTTCTTTGGTAGCAAATATTAAAGCAGTGTACTATTCTGAGAAAAAAAATTGTAACCAAAAATGATAAACTTTATAAACACTACAAAAAATGGGAAAAACAAATACCGTATGCGCATTGAAGAAAAACGTATGTCGCTTGTACTGTCTCAGTATGTCTCTTGTCTCCATAATTTTCACTTGCTTATGTGTACTGACCAGGCTCATTGCGGCGTCTCTTAGTAAGTTTGAAACTAGTCAGTCGTAGTAATATTATATTGGAATAGTTTTTTCTTAGACGTGTACTGTAAATTTTGATTATTGTATTTTATGTAGTAGTAGGCCTCCATCGGTCAGGGTCGACCATGGGTATAGCATCCTAATTGTGTGTTTGGCTGGAGCATCTGCGGCTATGACTGTGAAGGCCAATGCGTGAATGGCAGTCCCTGCCGCAAGTGCTGCACGTGTATGCTGTTTGTTGGACGTTGCTGATACGAAGTTTTCTGCGGGTCCGCCTCCTTGTGGCAGCTTGTGTCAGCTTCTCTTCTCCTGTTTTGAGGTGCCTTGTAACGGCTCCTCTCCATTGTGACCGATCAGCTGCGAGATTTTCCCAGGTCTCTGTGTCAATTCCTACAGCCTTCATGTCACGCTTCAAAGCATCTCGGTATCGCAGCTGTGGGCGTCCTCTGCGTCTACTTCCAGTGGCTAGCTCACCATACAGTAAGTCTTTGGGGATGCGGCCGTCTGGCATGCGATGAACGTGGCCCAGCCAGCGGAGTCTACGTTGCCTGAGTAAGGTTGACATGCTTGGCAGGCCCGCACGAGACAAGACCTCTGTGTTTGGGACTTTGTCTTGCCACGAAATTCCCAGGATGCGGCGGAGGCTTCTCATGTGGAAGGTGTTCAGGCGTTTTTCTTGTCTGGCGTACATCGTCCATGTCTCGCTGCCGTATAGCAGTGTACTGATGACACAAGCGCTGTATACTGCCATCTTGGTCTTCTCTGTGAGCATGGGGTTGGACCACACACGTGTAGTGAGGCGTGCAAGTGTGGCAGCCGCCTTTCCAATTCTCTGGTCGAGCTCGAAGTCTAAGGAGAGATTGTCAGTGACAGTGGAGCCTAGATACGTAAAATGATGGACCACTTCGAGCTCGTAATCGTCGATGGTAACGGATGGTGGTGTTTCTGATCCTTGTTCCAGGACTTTAGTCTTTTTCAGGCTGATGGTAAGCCCAAAGTCTTTGCAGGCCTGAGAGAAATGGTCCATGAGTGACTGAAGTGCTTGCTGAGTATGGCAGGCTACTGCTGCATCGTCAGCAAATAGCATGTCTCTTATCAGGGCTTCACGCACTTTGGTCTTTGCTCGGAGACGGGCAAGATTGAAAAGCCTGCCATCTGATCTTGTATGCAGGTAGATCCCTTCTTTCGATGCGCCAAATGCATGTTTCAGAAGGAAGGCAAAGAAGATTCCGAAAAGGGTTGGGGCAAGTACGCAGCCCTGTTTGACACCGCTGTTGATGTTGAATGACTCAGAGGTTCTGCCGTTGAACTGCACAGTCCCCTGCATGTTGGCATGGAAGGACTCAATCAGGCTGTGTAGTTTAGGGGGGCAGCCAATTTTAGATAGAATTCTGAAGAGACCCTCTCTGCTTACAAGATAAAACGCCTTGGTCAGATCGATGAAGGCAATGTACAAAGGCATCTGCTGCTCTCTGCATTTCTCCTGAAGCTGGCGGAGGGAGAATACCATGTCTATCGTTGATCTTTCTGCTCGAAAGCCGCACTGTGACTCTGGATAGATACGTTCAGCCAGTTTCTGAAGTCTTACCAAAATAACCCGAGCAAAGACTTTGCCCACAACGCTGAGTAAGGAGATGCCCCTGTAGTTGTTGCAGTCACTGCGATCTCCCTTGTTTTTGTAGAGGGTAACGATCTTAGCATCCCTCATGTCTTGTGGTACGGCCCCTTCTTTCCAGCACGCACATAGGACATTATGTAAAGGCTGTAATAGTGTAGTCTTGCAGTGTTTGATCAGGTCAGGGGGGATCCCGTCACTGCCTGGAGCTTTCCTTGAGGCCAAGCTGTTGATAGCCTTGCTGAGTTCTTCATTAGTGGGTTCGTTGTCAAGCTCTTCCATTACAGGTAAGCATTTTATGGCATCAAGGGCTGATGATGTTACTACATTCTGTCTTGAATAGAGATCAGAGTAGTGTTCCACCCATCTCTCCATCTGTTGTCCCTTGTCTGTGATGGCTTCCCCTGAGGTGGATTTAAGGGGAGCTGTCTTGTTCTGGATTGGACCTATTGATGTTTTGATGCCTTCATACATCCCTCTTATGTTCCCAGTAATTGCTGCAGTCTGGATGGCTTCGCTGAGTTCGGTCCAGTAGTCGTTGGCACAGCGTCTTGCAGTGTGTTTGACTTTGTTCCTTATAGCTCGGAGAATCTGAAGATTTTTCTCGCTGGGTAATCGCTTGTATTCCGTTAGAGCGGCACGCTTTGCTTCTATGATGGGGATCATCACAGCGGATTTAGCTTTGAACCAGTCATGCGATTTCGAGGTACTTTTTCCAAAGGTGGCCAAGGCAGTGCGGTGCATTGTATCCCGTAAGGTGGTCCACTTCTCAGTTGCGGAGTCCCCTGACTGTAATGTTGCTAGATGATTCTCAAACCTCTCAGCAAATTGCTCTTTAAGATCAGGCTGGCTCAACTTAATGACATCAATACGAGGGCTCCCTTTCTTCTTGCCACGGTGGAACCTTTTCGGATGGAGCCTGACCTTGCAACACACCAAGGAGTGGTCTGTGTCACAGTCCGCGCTGTGGTAAGAGCGTGTGTGGAGGACGTTCTTAATAGCTCTGACAAGGATAGTCCAGCTGATGCCACTGCTTTGAGCGCGGGTGTCTCCAAGAGACCTTGTGCTGAGGTTTGGTCTTGAAGAAAGAGTTGGCTATGCAGAGTTTGTGATAGGTGCATAGCTCGAGCAGTCTCTGGCCATTGTCGTTCATCTTGCCTATGCCAAACTTTCCAAGGCAAGAAGGCCATGATCTTTGATCAGCTCCTACTCTGGCGTTGAAGTCGCCCAGAAGGATAAGTTGTTCTTTGTTTGGGATGTTGCTGATCGTGGCTGTGAGCTGATCATAAAACTCGTCTTTAATTTCAGGTGTAGCAGAGAGTGTTGGAGCATACACGCTGACGAGAGTTACAGGGCCTGCCGTGGTGTTCAGGCAGAGAGTGAGGAGTCACTCTGAGCCGCTGTTGCCTGGCTTTACCATGTTCAGCAGGTTGTTCTTCACTGCAAAGCCCACCCCATGCTGACGCGGTACATTGGGGCTTTTCCCCTGCCAGAAGAAGGTGTAGTCTTTCTCCTTCAGTCTTCCAGAGTCTGCAAGTCGTGTTTCTTGTAAGGTGGCAATGTCCACATTAAGCCTCCTAAGTTCGTCGTTAATGATGGCTGTTTTCCTGGAGTCGCTGACGTCCTGAAGGTCTTCTGAGAGGCCCGTCAGCATTGTTCTAACGTTCCAGCAGCCTAGTTTCAGGACTGGTTTCTTTTGATGATTTTTGTTATTGCCTGGTGCAAAGTTTGCAGTCTGCCTGTTGGATATCTCCTAATCTCCATGCACCCAATGAAGAAAGCAAACCGTGGCGGGACAGCACCTTATTGACTGGGGGCTGCCCAGCTTGAGGCGGGCGGTAGCTGTCCAGTGGGATTCGAAGATCCCTCCCACCGACGAGAACGACCCCTGGCGCTTCACTCTACGCCAATCGAGCAGTAGCTTATCACCGGTAAACTGCCATTCTCCGTGTTGTGTCTACGCCATGGGCGTAGCTGGAGTGTCCTCTCCAGGTGTAGTGCGAGGTGTGTTGGTGTGTAGTGTAGGCGGATGCTAGCCTGGGCAGTGTTTTATGGAGAACAAGCTGTTGCCCATGTAACATGTTCCCCCTCTCCACGTCACTGATGGGGCCAAAGGAACAACAAGGTCGTTACAATTTGGGACCAGTGCCGTCGCAGGAGCTGCCAGCACGGGTTGAATTCAACTTCGAGCTGCCTTAGGGACTCCAACTCCGGATTTTTCCTCGAGGTTTACTCCTGAAGCCTTTTCCATGTGTGGATATAGCCGCAAGGCAGCAGAGGTTTGGGATAAGGGTTTTCCTTCCCCTAGGTAAACTGCCTTTCCAGGCTAGCGAGCTCTACCTGCCCTGTGCTGTAACCCTAGCAGGGGTGGCTGCGGGGCTGTAAACACTTGCCAAAGGTGTCACCCCAGACTCTGGTGGGCGGGGTCGTCCATGTCCCCGTGGTAGGCTGAGGTCCAACCTGTCCTACCCCAGTGCCCTTTATGTATTTTATGTACTGTAAGTAGATTATGTGTTGTACCAGCTTTTCGTACTAATTTGTGTTGGTAGAATGTTAAAAAAAAAAATACAAAAAAAAAATTCATTTCAGCGATTACTATTAGTTCCTCAGTTATTCCATGAGTGATAATAACTGCCATTCAGTGCAGATGAATACGAGAAAGATATTTGCAGTAATGAACACCACTTGAGCAATACTGAAAATAAAGTTTTACAAAAAAATTCAGGCCTGTACAGGAGTTAAGTAACAGACGTCGCCGGCCTCACGACAGCAACCAGAAACGTGAAATTTCCTTGCAGTCCTCACTGCGCATGTACAACACGTTGTGGCTTGCCGTTGTCCCAAAGTCGAGAACGCGAGAACGTGGAGCTTCACGTCGCGACGAGAACTTGAATACTTAATCTTTTGTTTTGATCACTTTTAGCTTACTTTCGGGCTAATTCAGTTTGGAAGCTAGGTAAAACTACATAATGATTGATTTTATGCTTGAAATAATGTTCTGCAAGCATTATTAGGCTTATTTTTCAAAATTGTTTTCGCATGCCAAACTAGCTTCCAACGAAGAGGTTGCTTTCATTCAACAGAATAATTAGTTGTCTTTTCCGATTTTCTCAGTGTATAACCGGTAGATTGTTAAAGCTTGACTCAAGACTTAAATCACTTTGTATTTCCTTCCTCCTGGCCTTTCTTTTAACATAGAAGCATATTAAATCGACTCAAATTAATTTTGTATTTAGTGTGTTAATCGCCATGTTCACAAGCAGACAAATACGCGCTTCTTGTACACACGAGAAGATTGCGTTCTTCGCAAAAGGTTTCTTTTTTCCGGCACTCAATTGATGGCAATTGATCGCTTGAACATTACACATATAACGTGTAAAACAATTTCTGTTTTTAATAGGCCAAGGCAGAACGACTTTTATAAGCTTAATAGTTTGTAATTTTTCACAGTAATAATTTTAAAAGGGATGTGTCGATCATTAGAAAAGCTTTAATAGTATAAGGCTTGAATTCGTCGAGTTATTTTTCAAATATAGTGTATGTTTAAGTCGTGGATGGAGTGGACAGAACAAAAAGATGTCATGGAAGTCAGAGAAATCTTATCATGTGAACCCTTTAAATTCAAGGCTGGCTCCAAATAGCGAGGTTCGGCAAGGAGCCAAATAGTGCAAAATCTGAACACACATTCAGGAGTCTCAGAGAGCTGTCAAAGATAGTTATGTCGTGAAGAATGGCAAATTCATTTGCCTTTGCGACTCTTTTAATAAAGGAAATCAAAAGGAAATATTGCGTTTCCTTCAAGCTCGAAAATTACGGGTATGCAATCGTCAAAAAGACCTTTTGGAATGAAGTTCACAAAAAAAACTTTAACGAAAACCAAGACAATAAAAACGTTACATAATCTCTTGCGAAAATTAAATGTCCTGTTTCCTTCGCTTTCCACTGAAAGAAGTCAAACTGCCCAGCAGAGAGATTCTTACTCTTCAACTCTGTTGCTATAGTGATATTTGCATGAGAATGTTGTTCGAGACATATTATGTTAATATCAGACATCTCTTGCTCTACACTTTTCATAGAAAATCAGTCGAAGAGTCTTTCAAAAAGTACCTAGTTAAGACACAATTTTTTTATTAAGTACCAGATTTTTTGACGTTTGGCTAAACTTGGTGTCACGAATGCGTTTGCATGTCACAGGCTGAATTCAGCGGGACGGTATTTTAATTTATTTTCATTGATTTAAAAAAAAATAAGATGTTGTCAGACAAATAAATACACCACGCCACTATGCCCGAGGCCTTCTCGGTAGCCATGCTTTCGTGGATGAGCTGGCACAACTAACTGATTTGTGTACAAAGCTGTTAACGTTCTTTATCTTCCATTTGTGTTTAGCCAGCTTCAGTTGGGTTTGAGAAAAGTCTTCCGATAAATTTTCTTGATATCATTAAGCTAGACATTTAGTTTTCTGTGAATAGAAAGTGCTCTAACGAGATAAGTATTCATGCTGAGTTAATTCTCGTCCATGAATTGACGATAATTATTTCGCGCGCCCAAAAAAATTGAATTCTCTTTATGGAAATAAGTGACAACTGACTGACCTCTCGTCTTCTGCAAGGGATCTTGAAGTTAACCTGCAAAAAAATGGGAAATTTCGGCTAGTTGGGAACAATCTTTACAATAAGGTAAGTTTTAATACTTCATGATCACTATCTATGCTCTGCTTAGGACTCGACAAACCTAAGCGTTACCATCAATAAAATTACAACGATATTGTCACGTTCCGCTCAAAATTTTAATAACTAACCGCAAAGAACATCGCTCTCACTTTGAGCTCTTGGAATTGATTTTATGAATTCATAAAAGGACGTTGTTAGTCTGATTAATGTAGAATTAGAAAGCATCCGAATCATTCCGTCTCCTTTAGGAAGAAATGGTTTTGAATTGAAACAAGCTTATAAAAGGCCGGCATATAAAATTTAAGAACGGAGAAACCTCAGTAGCAGCTAATCAATCATTATTCATATCTCCGCTGTCTCTATCAAAATTAAAGTGAATAATTCAAACTAAGTTGTGTTGTACATTCAATGCCAAGGTCTATTTTCTAATTTTTCATCGACTGATTGAAAGGAATAATAAAGATGTCGTGACATGAAGCCGCCAAAAATTTATCCTGATGCCTAAAAAGAACACACTCGAAAATTTTCAAACGTTGCTAGGTTTTAAACTTAATACACATCGATCAAATGGCATAGTCGCCAGCCATTAAATTAATAACTTCTTTTAAAACAACTTTGTGCTCTGCAACAATGAGCCTAGATCATTTATGTAGATCAAACTATGGAAAGCGAAAAACTACGCGAACCATGAAAGGAAATGTAGATGCAATTTATCGCGAGAATACAACTGAAATCATTGCTAGCAGCCTCCTTTATTTCTCCCTTTTTCGTAGCAACTGGTCTTAATATTTGAGTTTTGGATAAGAATTATTGTTCTGGAAATGGCTAAGTTTGGCAATTCACTTGGTAATAACTGGTATTTTTTAGTGGCGTGCAGCAACTTCCAAGGGGGTGGGGGGGGGGGGGGGTGGAAAACTGCTCACCAGAGATAAGATAAATCTGCAAAAATGATAACAATAATCAGTGCTCTAGAAAAGAAATGATAATTTTGGTTAAATTTGTGAGTAAAGAAGATGGTCCCTTTTCCAGAATCTTGATTTAACTAAGATGACTGGCCTTACTAACCAATTGCAAATATTGCCATGGAAATTCTCCCACAATGAAAAATCTGAAATTGCTCGAAACGTGTTTCTCAGCAATATAAATAAGACGGTGTTCTTCACTCGAACAATCGGACAAACAGACAAATTAAAGGCTTTCAGCTTCAGTTGATTCGTGACAATTGTAATTCACCTTGTAGTTACACCCCCCAAGTGAATCGGCGCCAATTGTTCATATCATGTAAACCAAGTTATATATGTTTGAGCTCATAAAATGGGTTTTCTTGGACAAAGTCTAAAATATGAGTCTGAAGGTTGATCGTGTGATCATACTTTAACCCAAAAATTCGAGGTGAGTGAATGCAACATCATATAGCAGGGAACAGATGTCGTTAGGAAAGTTGTGCCCGTGTTTCGCTCTATTGATTGGTAAGCGATGACACATAGCATTTCTGTTATAGTACACACCATGTATTTGATTGAACAACATGTGCATTACAGTATATGGGGATGAAACTCAACAGAATGTTCTGTTAAGTCGATAAATATCCCAGTTATACGGTCACAACTTAGCACACACTTTTAAAACAATTAAATGCATTTCAAACCATTAATATTCACAGTTAACATAGTCACGCGGTCATGCCGATCGATTCCCATGATGAACGCATTCTTTAAGATGACACTGCACGTTTCGAGACAAAGGGGGGAACTTTATGTAGATTTAGTATGTGAGGCCTGGTGAGTCTGAAAGCTCAAGGCTTTCCTTGGCCACGTTCAGAAGTATTTTACATCCCCGTTTCAGCCTTGGCTGAAAACATTGGGCTACCTCCTGAAGCTCGTTCAAAAGTCAAAGCCGAAGCTTTGACGTAGGCAGTTTTAATCTTGAGAGCACTTCGTTATGGGAACCAGTGGACTCAACAGTCTCAGGGGTAACTCTTACCAGTGATGAAGATACGTCTCCGTGAAAATTAGTCGAAACCAAACCTCTCAGATGTAAATACTGAACCCCAGAGCAAAATCCCACCCCTCACAATGACAAATATCTACATGTAGATCGCCTCAGAAAGCAAACATACTAGTTCATTCAGTCCTAACTCACCCCAGTAGCTCAAAAATGTGGGTTTAGGCGAATTGAAGGAGATCCGGTTTAGATTTCAGGTAAAGGCTATGGATAACAACAAAAGACATACAATAGATGAGATTTCAAGTTCTAGTTTGGTGTTCCTAAGCTTTTTTAAATTACTACCCGATCATGTACTCTTTCGAAATTTTCACCGACATGAGGCGAGCATTGGCGAGCTGGGTTCCCTCATTAAATATTACTATTATCATTACATTCTAACATGATAACCGGGTACAATACCGCACCTCACTTTACAACAATTCAGTCTCCCTGTTTTATCGCGAACGAAGGAAAGCTTAAAGTCAATTTTAAGGTTTGTGAGGATGTTAATTCTGTTAACTAAATACATCACGAAATGGAAAGCAACCATGCATGATTGATGACCAGCTTGCCAGATTGGATTTGCCTTCTGTATGTACTATTGTTGCATCGAATTTTCTTAAATTCTGTAATTTTAGAATACTTGATAATGCGTAGTTGTATGTTATTGATAAAATCGGGGTGAGCACTTATATATTTTGGTTCACTTGGCTAGAGTGCAGACTTTATTAAGGTGACGCTTACTGAGCTGTCAATCTCTAACCTTCGTCGTGCTTGTACACTTAACTAGCGAATCACGCTAAGCTACGCAGAGCTGAGTTCGCATACTAAGTAGATACCTTCGTGATGTTTACGCTTTACAAAATGACTTTCTACCTTAAATTTTTTAGTCTTACGGTTAAGTTCGGGCCAAACAAAAACATTATATTAAAATTTTTTTATAAAAATATTAAATTATAATGAACTTACTAACAGAAATAAAATCCTACTTGAAAAGATATCTTTAGAGAAAATAGTCCTCGAAGACTGTTACATAACAGCAGAATAAACAGAAAATTCGGAGGAGAGAGGGCGTACCCAAGGTACTGCCTTTAAAAGAGCTACGTGTTATTCGTATAAATTACCCGATTATAAATTCAGAGCGGAAGATGAAAAGTACTACGTTTCCACCTTAAGTCACTTCTATGAAAAACTCCTGAGGGGTGTCGAACGTGCTAAATTAAAATTTAAGAACTATTTTCCTGATCGGGAATTTGACATGGATTTAGCCTAAAAACGAGAATATTAAAGAGGTAAAGGTATAAAGGAGGGTTACTTCCAGGAAATTCCTGTACGGGATCAATTTTTATAAGGTAGAGTCATTTTCTTAGTAATTAATCATCTTTTAGCAACATAGTGGAAATATACCGATATCTAGCCGCAAATCGCAGTTTACGCAAAAAAATCTGTCTCTATGTCAAATTCACGATCATAATAAGGAAAAAGTAACCAAACTCTACCTGTAAGATAAGACCGCCAGAAGGAATAAGAAATGATCAAATGGCTTATTATAATGTTTACTGAATGGCTTAAGCAAATATATTATTTTCATTCATTTTCCAACACCAATATAGGAAACTCTTACATTGTTTTTAGATTATATATATTTCTATTTTTATCGTTTAACATTATCAATTAATACAGCTGAATAAGTAAACCAAAACATCCTGTTTTCGTCTGGTTCAGATTCTGCTTTTTCTTTTCCAGCAACAGATCGTACGTACGCTACACAGGGTTTCTCTTCTTTTTTCATATATTCTATTATTATGCAAAAAGTGACTCAGCAATTGCTATTGTGATTAGCATTAAAGTCCTGAGACAATTCTGAGTGCTACCTCAGCGTCATTAAAACAGCAACAGCAAAATTGATATAACCTTTATATCCGTTGAATTGACATCACTGTTACATTATATCATGCACAATTGTGGTCGTAAAAAGATAAAAACAACCTTCTAGGTAGGTGTCAGAGAATTGTTATAATACAATACCTGTAGACTCTGTGATTTAAGGATTTAATCTTCTTTAAAAATTTGCAACAGGATTTCTAACTGACTTTATTTTCTTCCATAGATGATCTGTAAAAAGTTACTCGACAACCTTATTCGCAAGAAGCCGCGTGAAGCATGGCTCCCAGAAATTCCCCTGAGAAGATGCTTGACAGCCATAGACCTCATCTCCTTAGGTGTTGGAACAACAGTCGGCACTGGCCTATATGTGATCATTGGTGAGCTTGCTCGGTCTGTCGCTGGTCCTTCAGTCATTCTCTCTCTCCTCCTGGCCTCCAGCGCTGCGTTTTTGTGCGCCCTTTCATTCGCTGAATATGGTAGCCGTTTTCCTGATGCTGGATCTTCATATCAGTACACTTATGCCACCCTCGGTGAAATATCTGCGTTCATTGTTGGCTGGAATGTTGCTCTGGAGTTTTTAATCGCGGGAGCCAGTCTTGCACGAACTTGCAGCAGATTCATAGATTATGCTTCTAACGGACAGGTGTTCCTCTTCTTATCAAATCATTTTTCAAATTACTGGAGCATTCCCGGGGAAGAGCCCTTTCCAGATCTGCTGGCAGCTGCCTTAGTAGTCGCAGTAATGGTTATTTTGTGTTTGGGAGCTCGCACCTCCACAAATTTTCACAATTTAGTGACAGTCATAAACTTAGGATTTATCCTCTTTATAATTGTTTTCGGATTCTTCTTCATAAACTTAAAACACTGGAAAGACAATTTCATCCCTTACGGCGTCTCAGGTGTACTGGAAGGTGCAGCGGGGGCTTTCTTCGCCTTCTCCGGATTCGACATTGTCGCAGAGGCCGCTGAAGAAGCGGTAGACCCTGAGAAAAATCTCCCCAAGTCATTCTTGATCACCATCCTACTCAGTACGTTGGCCTATATAAGTGTAGCTTCAGTACTCACTCTCATGGTACCTTATTATGACTTAGATGAGTACGCACCATTGGCAGAGGCCTTCGGGCGTAAGACCTTTCCTGGTGCTATGTACATTGTAGTGTGCGGAGGTATCTCTGCTACTGTCAGTGCATTACTCTGTGCAGTTTATTCCACTTCAAGAATTTTTTACTCCATGTCTGTTGACGGGCTGTTGTTCAGATGGTTTTCCAAAGTGCATAGCAAAACCCAGGTACCCTACAGAGCTACACTAATTTCTGGTATCATCACCGCCTTGATAGCACTCCTGTTTGACGTAAATCAAATGGTGAGATAAAACCCTGTTTTCTAATTTCTTGTCTTAAAAAGTAAAAAAAAAAATGGCGCAGCAGGGTGAAATTAACTTTAAATCAAAGGTCAATTTACGTTGATGAAGGACCGCTGGTAAAGTACAGGCACGGCCCATAATGCAGCGAAAACATGGCAGTTACGAAAGATCTATAAATGAGATTGCATGTGGCGGAACAAGAGAACTGTTCGTTTTTCTTTACATTTCCTACCGGGTCTCTGAAAAAAAAAATGGCGATGTCCGTAAGACTGAAGCCCTGGAGGCAATTTAAAGACCTTTTTTTCGGAAATCAAATCTTAATATTGGAGACAGAGGCAATTTTGAGTCACCAAAGACTGCCTATACCTCCGGACCCTCTTTGATTGGTATAAATAAATCCGCTCTCTGCTTAAAATGTTCCCTCTTCAAAGTTCATTTTTCAATTTGACTGTATTGATGTTGATAATCAGCATATGTCAATTTGCATTATCAGGTGCAACTCCTTTCTATTGGAACCTTGGTGGCTTACACAAAAGTTAGCATCTCTGTTCTTGTCAGTCGCTTTCAGTCTGGAGTACAAAGTGTTCCTGAAAATGATGAAGGAAATACAAACATAACTCAGTGGCTTCATAAAATGTTCTCCAAGGCTAAAGGGAAAGAAAGTGATCCATCAAGCATTGCATATCAGCGAGTACCAGATGAGGAAGATACGTCCAGTCTTCCAGCAGCTCCCGGGGCTGAAGTCACTGAAGCAACAACATTTCGTGCAGAACTAGCTGTATTTTTCCTTGTGATTTTTTTGGCAGCATTGGCTTTGATTTTAAGCAATTTTTATCAAGACGTGTTCATAAAAGGTGAATGGTGGGCTATATTTCTCGTCACTCTGTTTTCAGGAGCAATTGTCTTTCAACTTTTTGTTATCCAGCTTCAACCAAGGAACTGTGCGACGTTTCCGTTTATGGTTCCTGGTGTTCCTTATATTTCAGCATTAACCATTTTCATCAATGCTCTGTTGATGGCAAATCTTCAATGGATGACCTATGTTCGCTTTGGCGTTTGGATGATATTAGGTGCGTGTCCACGCAGTCTCTCAAGAGAGTCAGTCGGTCAGAAGATTTACATCAGTCAGTCAGTTAGTCAGTCAGTATTTCACTCAGTCAGTCGTTCACTCAGTCCTTCAGTCGGTCAGTCAGTGAATCAATCAGTCAGAGAGTATATCAGTCGATCAGTCCTCCAATCAGTCCGTCAGTCAGTGGGATGGTCGGTTTCTCAGTCAGTCAGTCAAATGAATAAAGGGAGTGAGTTTCTAAAGAAACTGTAGTGCTGTGTCGGTGGGAGAGTATAACAGGGCAATTTAGTTTTATCAAATGAGTTTTTACCGTAATTTGGCCACTGCAAAAAAGTTTCAGAGCTGACATTTCGAGCGTTAGCCCTTCGTCAGAGCGAATAGAGGATTTTTGGGTTGTGTGTGTGTTGGTATATGCAGAAATGGAGCTGCGTTATTGGTAGGAACATGGTTCAACGATTGCTTAGTGATAGCAAACGTACCTTAAACTCTTCACAATTTTCCCTGTGGAGGTTTCCTTAGCCTAATCTTACCTCCATAAACTTCTTATTGTTTTTCATACAGGTTTTGTCATCTACTTATTTTATGGATATCGGCATAGCACAGAAGCACTGCAACCAGTCGTCAAGGAGATAGATGATTTAACATTAGAGATTCCAGATGTCGGACGAGAGATAACAAGGCCTCAACCAGTCGTCAAGGAGATAGATGATAAAAAATTAGAGATTCCAGAGGTCGGACCAAAGGTAACAAAGCCTCAACCAGTCGTCAAGGAGATAGATGATAAAACGTTAGAGATTCCAGAGGTCGGACGAAAGATCACAAAGCCTCAACGACCGTGATGACCATGACTTCAGTAGAAAGTTAGCAATCTCAGATGCAACTCGTTTTCTCCTCGTTGTTACTTCTGGCCTTCTATTAGCTTTCTGAAATATAGATTACGATTTTCTTTACGGTACTCTATGTAGCGTTGTCTACATAATCGTAACTTCTTTAGTTATTTAAAAAAAAAAACCCTGTTCTAGCGTATCGAGCGGTATACGTTGCTCGCATCAATCAGATCGCTTCATTATGGTATTTATCTGGCACCAATCAAATCACGAATCTGTTCCAAGACTCTTGGAACAGATTATGTCCGCGAAAAAGTATCCCCACAGGTTTTCGCACAAAGTATCACCACTTCAAAATTGTATTTACCGTTTAATGAAGATTAACCAACGTCGCAAAGCTTCAGTTGAAGTCAGGAACAGCTTAATTTGGCTTAATATAGTTTTCAGCCATAATTCGCATCGCGTTTGGGAATAAAGTATCGTCAACTCCAAAACTAACATGCCCATTGCTTTTCGAAACGAGTGTTATTTAGCATTTTTTTAGTTCATTTTGATCTCCAAAAAGTCTATCTCTATCGGGACAGAGCGGGAAAAAAATCTTGAAAGTTTTGAAACCGCGCAGCAAAACTCAACAGAACTTTCAACCGATGTAAAATTACACACGTCATGTGGATACAGGGCCGTGCAGTACATAAGGATTTTTACCATTGTAGCTCCTTAGGAAATAGGTAGGCCTTGCGCGAGTGCTATGTTATAAAAACAATTGTTATATATCTAGACTTTCACTCAACAAAACGAGCACTGTGATTGGTTGATTGTTGATCACGTGCCCCTGATCAGATTGAAATGTATCCCGACCAGGATACAATTGCGCAGTTGTTGCTCGCGCGCCAAATACAAAATGATTGTCTAAGGGAAAGTCTAGATATGTAACAAAGCACATAAGGTATGGTCCCTCGGGAAACTATTTAGTTTTGTTTCCCTCGGGACCCTACATTAAGTGTATATTGTAACAGAGTGGTTTCAACGATAACTCAATTTTCAACAGAAAGTGAAAGCACCTGAGCAATTATACGAAAACAATTATTACCCTCCGGCTCTGAATATTGTTGAATAATCACTTCGCCTCGACGAATAATTGTTGATTATTGGTTTGATATATACCACACAAATAGTTCAACTACTTAAATCATTTCAATGTTGAACAGTGAATAATGATGATTCTTAGACCAGGAACAAAATCGTGGACATAAATTCGCATTCCTTAAATGAGGCTCTCCTAAAAGGCCACAAAAATAGTTACCAAAGTAAGCCTACAAGATTTTACGGTTGTGAGTCACCTTTCTTAGAAACATCCCAAACGCAGTTAACCTTAAAACTCTTCACCATGAGTGAATGATTCATTTTGAAGCATGTTTTGCTTCATGAGACAAATTTCGCACATAAATTTTCAGTGTTTGGTGTGTTAAAGAAAGATGAAACAAATTTTCAAAAAAATTGATAGGGCCGAGGGGAAAAACGATAGCATATTGCAAGAAAGAAGCGCTTGCCTCACCAGAGCCCGACTGAACCACCATTAAGGAACTCCTTAATTCATAACAAGCCGATTTAGTAAAAATCACTCCTGTTTTCTTATCATTGTAATGGTCTATACCACCGCCAAAAATCCTCACCCAAAATTACCAAAACTGGCCACATTTCAGCCCTCACAGAACACAATTGAAGGGTAAATTTTGATTCAAACAACGACTCACCGAAGTCCAGCGTGCAATCATTAAAACTCCTCGGCCTTCACAGATTTCATCAACTAACCCAGCGTAAAATATTTAGAGAGCATGTCGAGTGTTCCCTATGCTTTCTTTACATTTAAAAGTTTGGAAAATCCGTTTTATATGACTACAAAACCAAACTTTTGAATGAAATTCGAGCGCAGCTTCGCCAAAGTTCATTATTCCGTGAAAGTAACTTTTGCGCATGTACTGTTTTGGTGTTTCACGCGCCGGTAGCTTACGTATGAATTGAAAAGTCAAATAAACCAATTTTAAATTGTTTCCTTTTTAACTAGTTGATCTAAAAGAAATCGGTATTTACATTTATAAAGCGGTGCTTAATTCTTTACTTTTTTTTTAACTTCGCTCTTCAAATGTTCATTACTGAATTTAGTCCTAGTTAGTGTTTTTCAGAAATTCATGGTAAACTGGTTAAATCAAAAGGCCATAACTACTGCAACACTTTACTTTTGTGTTTATAGGTTCCTCGTATGATAAATGATAACTTGCAACAATACTTAGAAAGAATACTTAAGAATGGATGGACCATGACAAGGAAATAGATCTCTTTACGGTTGTGAAATCAACCGCCGTTGGCGTTGTTGTTGCAAGGGATCATATTCTTTGAAATTCTGAAGATCCTCTGAAGTTCTAAAGCTAACGATCTGACACGGTTTGGCATGGGTCAGCATGTCTTGTTCTTCAGTGAAAAGCTTTTTAATTGAAAAGATGATGAGTCCTATAGATGATAATCCACCAATAGAAAAAAAAAAAAGATAGTAAGGCAACCATCACATTTGAACAGGTTGAACTAAACACCAAAACCAGATACCTTTAATGAGAGAAGTGGATCCCGCTATAAAGCTAAAGTGGAAGTGACTTTGAATAGAACGCACTCCAGATCTTTGTTCAATGCCGTTTTGTTAAAATTCTGAAAAGTTTATTTTGCCTTTGTGATGGTGGGTTTTAGCTTTATTGTCGTCATTATTTTAATGTTTTTAACTGTGTAGATTAATTTGTGATTACAGCCTTCTGCCTCACATTCGTAACAATGATATTTAAATTTGACTTATTGGTGATAACGATTCTGGTCTCTTTTCTAATGAGTGGTAACTGTGCAAACACTTCGCACCTACTAGATGGGGCGTTGGCTGTAATTTTATTGCTCCACAGAAAAAGCAGAACAGAAGGATGAGGGAGGACTCCAATCACTCGCTTTAAGTGTTTTTACACTCATACACCGTTTGGGGTATGAGAAGCTGAAACCACACCCGCTTTTTTACTTTTAGATTTTACTTTGTTTTATTTTGCCTTCATTATTATTATTATTATTTATGGTCTAGACGATTTTTTCCGCCATATCTAAAAGGAATTTCTTTGGGAATTCTAGAGATTTTTTCCACTTAAAAGCCTTAGGAAATATAGAAGTTGAAAACAGTTTAAATGGATTAATTGAGGGAACATTCTTTTTTACTCTACTAGAGCTTTAAGTCATAATTTGGGAAGGAGATCCTAGCCTTGGTTACCGAATATGATACCTCTTTTCTCGAGATTTATTTTTTTATTATTTTTCCAACATGAAAAAAATGAACACGCTAATCTTTCGTAGAAGAGCGTTTTTCCTGGTTTAAGCATGCTACACATGACGAGTTTTGCGTCGGAAAAAAAAATTATGCAAATTACTGGCTGCACATTGAATGTGCAGCCAGCTAATTTGCATAAGCAATTCAAGCCAATGTTCAACGCCTCTTGGTGGCATGAGGTGTTCGCTAAACATTCCAGGACATCCGATAATCACTTCAAAAAATGTAATTATGCTCCACTCGAATGGAATGGAAAAACCGCAACTTCCGATGATTACATTTCTACTCATTTTCAAGATACAACTCTACTTTGTTCACTCATTTTCCAGAAACAAGAGTCCAGAGAAATGTCTCGTACAAACTTAACGGGTCTAATTCGAAAAATAAGTAAAAATAATTTAGTGCCCGGTAGTCAAATTTTACCACCAGTTTTTCCAGTCGCCAAGAAAAACCTGTAGAGCGGTGGTATTCGTAATAGGAATTATAAGTTGACAAAAAGACAATGATCAGCAGAAAAAGCCCTGTATCATCCACTTCCGATCCCCTACGGATAACTTTCGTAGCCTCACTTTCGTATCCAAAGGTTGATACCAGTCTCACGCTTCTAAACCTATCCACCCGGAAACATCCAGAAACTTAAGTGCGTGTTGAGTGTTCCAAGTTTTGGTATCGCCCGGTTTGTTCTCTCAGTTTTCTTTCTACCCTTCATCAGGTAAGAGCTTTTCTAAAGCGTCATTGAACGATTAATACGTATGATTTTACTGTGAGGCATGTTTAGTCTAACTAGAGTTTTGAGCTTTAACCTCAATCGAAACATGTTTCCTGTGGAAAACATGTGCTGCGGAAGAACTCCTAATTGTATAATTTGAGAATGAAAATGGAAGACTCTTAGATCCGGCAGCTTCTAAATATCTAAGAATATATGGTTCTAGTGATTCTGCTTTTGTTTTTTCACAATGATCATTTTTTGACAACGGGAAATATATGTTATGTTGATCTTTCAACGTTGCTCTGCAAGTATTTTAACAAGCCAGCAAAGTCACGAACTAGACATAATAATATAATCGATTTCAGACAACTCGAAACAGCCGCCAATTCGAAGCAATTTTCGGTAAGATTTTCGTTTAAACCCATACTTTATTGCATTTACGTTACTGGCATTAAGAGGGAGAGGCTTCTACAGGCTTCTTTTCATGCTAGAAAATTTGAAGTTTAAGGAGTTCCATGTAGTTCTAATTTACTGATGCAGAAAAAATTCATACTTCATTGCATTTACGTAACTGGCATTGAGAGGGAGAGACTTCTACAGAACTGTTCGTGCTAGAAAATTTGAAATTCAAGCACGATCACAGTGCAGTTGCAGGTTGTTTCTGAATTGCTGTATCAGCAGAATCTAACTAGGAGTTCCTTGCAGTTCTAATTTATTGATGCAGAATTTAAAAATTTTCCTCTCGAGAGATTCTAAGAAAGAACCGAAATAAGAAACATACAATATGTTGCAAGAATCAGTTAATTGTCAATCACATCGAGTTAAGTTAATGTAATTTTGTTGGCAGAAATTTGAAAAGCTGTTTTAATTTTCCTTAAATGTTAATTTTAAAAAAATGCAATACATTTTCTTATTGTACCATTCATGGCAAATTGAAATTCAATTCAGATCGTCAACTCGCACACATGATTTAAGAGTTAAGTTGAGTTTTTCAACCATTTAGAGGAAAATTTTAATTTGAGACAGTTAATTGCTTTTTTAGGTTCAAATTGCCTTATAACCGGCTACAAATTCAATTTTGAAATGGAATATTAGTGTTGCCTAATGAAATTAACAAGATTTAATCATTGTCATCTATATTTCAAGCAGGTAATATATCCCCTTCCTCAGTTCAACATCGGTATTTTGATAAAATTATAAAATATCAGTGTCACACAGCATTTACATAATGTTCAAAGCTCTTTCAGAATCTTGAATTGAAAAAATTAAAATTGGCTGACCTCCCCAAGAGGGGTGCTTTTTCAGGAAAAAACTATGTTAATTATTTAATAAGAAAGAATTTCATAGATTAGGCAATGGAAAATAGTAGGGAAAATCTGAACAGCACATTCATCTTAGGACTTAATTTGATTAGAACTCAAGTGAAAGTTTATCTCTAATGAACCTGTCTAAAGACATTACCGTTTTCTGTAAATATATATTAAACAATCATATTTTTTTCCCAAATATATGTTATGACTATTAAGTGAGGAGCCACTAATATTGTTATAAAGACACTGCACTTGTTGCTAATTGCTGTTTTTTTTTAATTTTTTAATGATGATGTATTCCAATTTGGACACCCATTAGTTGAAAAAGTGGCAAAGGACATCACTTAGTCAAATTCTTAAGACAATTTGCCACAAGGTTGCTCCAAGGGGCCCTTGATTCTCTTTATGGCCATTTAATTGTTTGATTGTGTGCATTTTCTTACATAAGTTTATTTTGGACATACCTGCATGTATCAGAATGTTTTGGTATGTTCCATAATAAGGGATTTATCAGCATCCAATCAATAGGAACTGTAAGTAAAAAGGAACTGTACTTTTCAAAACTTTGAAACAATTTATAATAACTACATAAATTATTCATGTACACTCTGTATAAATAAAAATACTTAAGTAGTCTTTTTTTAATTCTCAATTAACTTACATCAGAAAGGTTTAAATTCTAATAGCTTAAACCATTCTAGTGTTAATCAATTTTTCTCCTGGTTTTTGAACCAAAACAAATACAAAAAGGCACTAAGCATGTATGCAAGTGGATGTGCAAGGTTGTCAGGCCCAATTAACCTGGAACAGCTCATTGTCTTTGAGGCTATAATCAATATTTCTTTTACGGAGTAACAGTATATATGTATATTACAAAGTAGTTAAGTTTACATTGCCAATGAAGAGGATTGGTAGGCATTTATGTTCATAATTTGTTATGTTGGTTTTGCCATCATTTTGATAATTGATTTGACTTGATGTTGGTCCAGTGCTGTTTTTTCGGTGGAAAGGAAAGTGGAATGGAAAACAATGGAAAATGAGTTGTCATTAGAAAATGGAATAGACACAGATACAAACATGGTCAGAAATTCATTGGCTGGGGCATGATTTTGATCCACTGGCAGGCCAGCTTGGCTACTTAAAATGCAGGGGGGCTAATTAACATAAAGTGTAGCACCCAGATGAAGCCCAGGGACTGGCCTCTTAAAGGGTGGGTTGCATTGTGGGTTGCTAACAGCTTTTTTTAAAAGCTCAACTATGGGAAGGGTAGGCTTTGAACTCCTTAGTGAGTTTAGGGTTTCTTGGGAAATACCACATGTTCTTGTTTCATCTTCTTGGCATGGTCCTCTGCATGATTGGCAGTGAAGATTCTGCCCTGCTACAGCTCTTTAGGGTTTTGCTTGATGGCAGGCATGGCCTGTCTTCAAGCTAACCTGGCTGATGAAGATGCTGGGGAGGGAGGGAAGGGGAAGTTAGCATCAAGGCCAGCACTGTTATGCAGCCCAAGGACCATTAATCCTTCAGGTTATAGATCACTAACAGTTAGTGTGTCCAAAGCTAAGTGTTGGGAGGGTAGTTTTTGGAATTATTAGCTCATATGAGCAAATGATGTTGGATTTCCAAAAAAATGAATTATTTTTCTATGTTACTTCAAGGGTTTAATAATCAGTCGATGTCACTGCATGTGACTTTCTAAAAGCATAAATAAATAGGTGGAGGGATGTGTGTCTGTGAGGCGAGGTTGGAGACCATTATAAGAATTGGTTTTTCGTATTGTTAACTCAGTTGGTCTGGGAAATTCTACATTTTTCAAGGAAAAGTCAGGGAATTTCAAAAACTTTGGGCTGTGACAGCCTTTCCAGCCTATTTTTGTCTTGGGCTGTCACGCACGATTCACAGCCAGGCTCATCATGGGTCTTCTTGCAGCTCAGCCGGTGTGTTAGGTCACCACAGCAGTAGGGGATGTTGAGTTTCCAAAGTAAGGTGCTCTGCGGAGACTTTGCGTTGGCTGTGCTCCATAATATTTGGCGAATCCACACAGATATAAACGGAAATTTAAATGTATAAATGAGTGAACTAAGATAAAGTAAGGAAACCATCTTGTAACTGGAACAGTGCAAGCTGTTTAATTACGATGTTCAACCTTCAGTCTTCTTCAGGTGAAACTTACGATAAAACTTTTCAACTGAAATCCTAAAAATCCTTGTATCAAGTTTTCAGAGACGCACGAATTCATACTTAGTCTAGAAATGTAAATAAGGTTATTTAAAATTAATTAATTAAAATAAAGGATTACGTAACTTAATGGTAGAGATCAAGAAAGTGCAAACAGCAAAAGATAAGTCGCTAGCCCATGGAACTTAATTTAAAAAATCATATTTGTGATTTTATCTTGTCAGCCTCTCTCCTTGTAGCAGTTTTAACCCTTAACAGTTGCAAGCGCATTACTATGATTGTTTGTGTGTGTGTGTGAGTAAAGCGCCTTTCTAAGAACTATAATCAGCATAAACATTCTCACGTTAAAATTTTTGTACTTACAGACGCCTTACTAAGAATGTCTCCGGAAAAAATTCGAGGAGAAATCCGTGATTTACCGCGAGATAATCCTGCAAAGTGTGAAGGTTTGATTCGAAAACTGTATAAACGCATCACGTCCTTGCAAGATTACGGTGAGAAAGAGAATCTGCTTGATGAGCTGGAAGGTGTCGCCTGCTGGGGATTGCAAGAGGACCTGGAGAAAATGTTGAAAGAAAATGGGTTGCACCTAGAAGCGTTACCCCTGGTTGTGAGATACCTGACAAATACAGGACAGCTTGCGGAATATTTGTACAGACATTCTGAAGAGGATTTAGAGAAGGAAGGCTTGGCGAGTGTAAACAAGCGGCTTCGACCACATCTTGAAGTGCATGGAGGCCTCATTGCTGAAGGAATCGATGTCACAAAGGAATGGGTGAAAAGGCTTTGTGAGAAAGCTCCGTCACTTAAGGTACTTTCTCGGCTAGAATCAAGTGAACTTCAGTCTTACTGCCAAGGAGCTGATGACGGAGAAATGGACCAAGTTCGCCATCTGGTTGAAACTGCTAAGTTTAACGAAAAAAAAAAGCTTCCCGACGTTCCACAAGATGATGGACTCGTGCAAGACACTAAAGCAACGAAAGCAGTAGATGAAGCAAATCTAAAGAAGGCAAAAGAACTGATGAATGAAGCTAAAACAATGGCTACAGACAAATCGGAAACAGCAAAGAAGGCCGTCAACGACAAAATAAAATTAATTATGGAAACAATTGAGCTACCTTTAGAATGGTTCAAGCAAGATCAAATGCAACCAGATCAAATGTTTCAACAGTTAGATCAGATAATTGACCGATGTAGCGAAGTTGTGGAAGCAAATGAAATTTACAAGAACGCGGTAGAGGTGATCACCAAAGCCAGTGCTGGGAAGGCACTGTTCGGAATTTATCATTCTGAATATGTAGTACCAAAACCAGCGGGCAGACCACTTCTCCTGCCACCAACAGATGCGTCATTAACCAATCCAAGCATATCTAAGGATATGAAGTTTATGAAGTTCTCTTCCCAAGGAGCAGCTGCAGATTATATCCGAACTGTTGAGTCCTTAAATACAAATATTGGTCTCGCTATAGCTGGTCTTGAGGGCTTACTCTTTGGTGAGGTACAAGGAGCTCGTGGTTCTGAGCAGCTGAAACAATTTCATAATTCTTTCAAAGAATGTTCAACCAGTGCGTCTGTCCTTCATTACACCCGGACGCCAACAAGATCATTTTTGCTGGAACGTAACCAAATAAAACTTTGTGAATCAGCAAGGAAAATGGCAAGATCCATTGTTCAAGATACTGAAATAGATAAGGTCCAACAGCAAGACATGGCTCGCGAATTCTTTAAACGTTTTGGGAGTCATTTTCCGGCCGGTGTTCAGACTCTTGGTGGCGTGTTTTTCAGCATCGCCGATGCTGAAAGCAAAGGAGCAAAAAAGAAATTCGAGCTAATGGAGGCAGCTACGGATTATCTTAAAGGGCAAATGTCTGTTGGATTTCTTGGGGTCTTCAATATTGGAGGAAGTATTGCTGGTGAGCACACCTCGTCTAAAGGTAGTAATGTGGGAAAGTACAAGGAAAGTCTTGACAAAGTCTTTACCTACTCTGTCAGATCCATTGGGCCTACAGCAACAAACACCAGTACTTTTCAGAAACTTCTGTCTTACAACTCAACCTGGGCTTTGATCGACCGAGGGCCTGTTGAAGGGTACATACCAGTATGGGAACTGTTAAAAGATCTTGGCGGTGTGTACAAAACAGCAGCTGACGTCCTGGAAAAAATTTGGCAGTGTGACGAAAATAAAAGGAAAGTTCGAAAAATCGCAAAAGATGAGTTGTTGCTTATGAAGGAAGGCTTCATCGCGGGGGTAAGAATGGCTAAACTTTAGTATTAGAGGTAAAGATAGAACAGGTCTTTAATCATCGAGTGTTCCCTACTCTTTCTAAGTCAAAAATTCTATTTTTTTGTTTTGTTTGTAAGTTGTGGTGCTACTAGATATTATTTACCCGAGATTTAATCTAGTGACCGAAGGCGGTAGGACGTTTGGAATTACTGCTTGCCAACTCTAGAACTGCTCAAGCCTGGTACTCAAGAATTGCGGATTAACAGAATATTTTAAGACTAATCATAGAAACATCCACCACGGTAAATATTCACCAAGATTCGTCCGTTAAGTGAAAAACTATTACCTCAGACTTGAAAATGCTTCCCTCGGTCTGCTTACGTTTAAAGTGCTCTCAAAGGAATTCGCGTCAGCCGTTACTATGACATTCATGAAGGGTCAATTAGCTAGTCGATGAATGAATTTACAATCAAACATTTATCCAGTATTTTAACATTTTAAGCAATATTTGTCACGATGTAGCCTTTTTGGAACTTAAATTATGTACTTGTTTTACGCTCTCTTTTCTGTTTCCAGACGAGACAGCTTCCTCGTACAACACTCAACTTATTTCGGGAAACTCTAGTGTGTACTCGAAAGTTTGTGGACGTAGCAGATGCCATTGATGAAGCGATAGAATTCATCATAGATGACCCGCAGAACAATATCTGTGTGGTTATTTGCGACCCATCAACCATCTTGCCGTTTCGATTTCCTCTCATTTTGCAATGCCATAAAGTTCCTGGCGATGAGCCGCTGGACGCCGCCGTCTCCGGCACTTCCAATACTGTAAATATTCTCCCTACTCCATGGTTGGATTCCTTTCTTTTTTTTCTGTTTCATGAGAGACCGCTAAGAGTGAACGTTTTCCACATCTTTAGTGAAACGTTCTTCAAACAGACAAATCACGTTCTTTAAGCGTTTTTGTATCAAAATTTATGCGTACGAGCTTTTAAGATTACTATCAGGGTTATGTTAAACTACAAAATCTGGTACAACCAGCTTGGATCTTGCCCTAAATTACATGGCCAGTCAAAACGTACAAAACTGGCTTAGGAGTTTAAGACAACTCACTTAAGATTTTTATCACTGACTTAACCTAACGTGACGCTTTGATGTATAAATTGTTGTGAGAAAGTAATAACTTGTACAGTTTTTTTTTCTGCATCAGAAGCCTTGAAAATGCTTGTTAGGTGCTTCCTTTAGTTGATTAACTTCCAAAGGTGTAGAATTGGTCCATAATTCTGAGGCATAAAATGTATCCGGACTAACCCACGGAAATACATCAGAAGGAAGAAAAAGTATTAGTTACCAAAGTAACTCTTAACACCCTTACTTCAGTATGTATAATCTAGATTCTCTTGTCCGTTCGTTTCCTCTGATACCGACATGGAGCCAAGAATTAGTTTAACAATCAAAGCTTCTTAGGTTCGTGATTTCTTCTAATTGTCATGATCTTTTTTAATGCTTGAGTAGTATTACTGTAAGATGAGATAAGAGGCTGGTCACTCTTAGGGTTTAACGGGTCAACTTACTTCTCCTCTTTTTCCTTTCATCCCAACTTTTGACCGGGTTGATGGTATTACACTTAACTCATATACTGTTTAATTATAACATGATTTTAAGGATTAAGGAAGATTCCCTAAGGCAAACCAGACAAGGAATAGTTCGATTACTTTTTTCATGGGTAAATTTTCCCTCGAAAGACTCGAACTCTAGAGATATTGCATAGATATTTCAACCAAGGGAAGTTTTTTTTAGAGTTGCGGTAATTAAGACGCATGCAGTCTCTCTAAGAGCGGTCCGGTGCGTTTGGGGTCGAAAAATCGATTTCTTTCAAACTTTGCCCAGGAATCTACCGTAGTCTAAAAGTAATCGAAACCACCTTGGGTTTTGCAAATATAGCAAAATAATTTTTTCTGAGCGAAAATCGCTTCAGCGCTCTTACGCTACTTTTTAACAACACCGAATATCAAAAATGGCACAAATTGCCGAGCTCGTCTTTTTACAAAATTCTAGTTCGAGGGTTTTGTTTTGCTTCGCATATTTAGATCAACCCTTTATGAGAACAAAGCACGTAAATTTTGTTTTTTTCACTGCAAAGTATTTGTTTGACACCTACTTTATGACCGGAAATATACAACTTTATCTCGGCTCAGCGCAAAATTCCACTGACTAAAGATTGACTAAAATAGGGTAGAAGAGCATGGAAATATAAAAACATGTGGTGGTTTCGGCGAACTTCTAGAATAGCCGGCCGACAAATTGCGTGCATTTTCGAAAATTCGAGCTAGCAATGCACATGGAGCGGTCTAAAAAATAAACGGAACTAATTCGGCCAACTTATGTTTGACGAGTGATTTGAGTCCATAAAAGCTTTCTTAAGACTCGCAATAGGATAAAACATCATTAAGTAAGGAAAAATCTCTATCTTCATCTGAGAAATACAGCCGCCGAGAGTTGACTCTTAGAGGCGACCTATTGTTTTGTTTATCACTCAATTAATGAGGAAGGGGAAAAAACTTCAGAGGCAGGATAGCTATGACAAGATTCATGTTTTTTCAGAATAACACTTAGTTTCAATGTCGAAGTTTTCATATTCGTGGTACTTAAAGCGAAGTCCTTTCCAATTGATATATGTGACATGTAATCAAATAATGTTTTACCACGCGAACTAGTTCATCTTAAGGTCCTTTCTTCTGAATTTATGAAACCTCACGAAGTCGCCAGAAATAAAATATTGAATGAATACCAAAAAAAACATGGTGGATTTTTTTCTAAGACGATAAGACTTCTGTGTACCGCCGTCAGGTCGCAAAGTAGTGATGATAACTCAGTAACTTAACTCATGCGTCACGCAACGTCTATTTTACTTAAATTCCTTCTCAGTTGATCCTTCGTCCACGTCGGTAAACCACAAGTTTCCAAATAGTCGTCGTCGATTTAGGATTTGGCCAGAACACATAGTAAATCAACCAGGTAGAATAATTCCAAAGACTTCAGAGTATACGAGACTTGGTTTTTCTTTTTCCTGCAATTAGTTCCAGCACCTGAAAGTAAACGGATGAGTTTTCTAAAAATTAATTTTTTTTTACACAACCTTAGGCAGTCCCAAACCCCATCTCAAAGAAGATGGACATATTTTATTCAGTATCCTTTCTCGGTCGTGGCGTTTCAGAAAGCTCTAATAAATTTAAATCTTTTCAAGCCTTCACATTTTTATCACTTCATCCCACTGTTCCTTCCTTAAGGTCTGCTACGCATAATCCAGAATCCAAATGGATCCAAACCGTCACAAATGTCACCATTGACAAAGTTGTGGAATTTCAATTTACCAAAATAGTTGTTTGAAACTTTCATTGCGTAATTTGATTCTTTCATGCATGAGCATTCGACCATTAGTGATAGTACCTTAACCAAACTTGATTTGGTGTCTCTTAAGTTAGATGGGATTTCAAAATGCTTGCACACTGCCCTTTTCCCTGAGCATCTTAACCTTGAAAATAAAAGTCTGTTTTCATATGCAATTTCGCAAAGGTTGTAGACATCATACATCACTAGATGCTTGACACCAATTTCAGACTCTACAGCTACACTGGCTTTCTCGAGCATTTGTTCATCTGTTAGCGAGGCATACTCTTCAAAAAGCTCTTCATCGTCGTCAACGGCGGAGGTTTCCTTACCATCTGATTGCTTTCTCTTCGCAGAGAGTCGCGAAAAAAATCCCAGTATTTGAAGCTTTGTAAGCCATTCCATTCTACTTAACATTCGTGTGCCATCGGTGTTGAGTGCATTGCGCATATCGTTAGCTTCTTATGCAGGATCTTCCTTCCTCCCAGTTTTTTGACCAATGTCAAACTTTTTTTGTAAGTACCCACGAACTTTGTCAGAGAAGCGTGTTTGGCTGCCTTTAGGTTTTTGAAGCGCCCAACCCATTCGAAGCGAGTTTACCTCGGTTGTGGTTTCCATTTGAACTTCTTTCGGGAGGCGAGACTTTCTTTTGGGATCCAGTGAAATGCTCTGGAAAAACTGAACCCAATCGATTCGTAACTAGTCATACACGCCCCGCTGTACCGTCTTCGCTGGGCTGTGATTTGCAGTCACACTTAGATGAGTTTCCAGCTCTGCACGACTAAGGAATTATTTTGAGCACTGGGGATGGGGACATTCGAAGATGCCACTGACATCGTCAACTCTCCCATGGTGCGCGGTCGTCTCATCCATCTCTCGTGCTCAAACTATGAAAAACAGTTTATCCTCGCTGAGGCAGGTAGTTTCTTGTAAACAAAATATGATGTTATTCCATGCAATTAGCTTACCAGCTCCAATTTTAAAAGCTTTCCACATTCGAAGTCCACGGGAGGTAAACTCAAAATTGTGCAGTGCGCTGAAATTAGGGATCTTCTTTAACTTCAGAGTTATAAACTTATCGTTCATGCAGAATACTCCTGCTGTCGTTCCTCGAACTGGTCTTTCTTTTAGGGCAATCTGCATGTCTTGAGCCATCAAAATATCATGACCTTCGTTGCAGTAACGTTTGACGGCGGCTTTCATCGGGCATAAAATCCTGTCGCAAATATCCTTACCGTGCTGTGGTTCCGAAAAATTTTATCCCACAATGTCAACTCCCTGACGACTTCCGACATCTTGAAGGGCCGCAAAGAGACTGCTGTTGTGATAAAAACCCGCTTCGTCTGATCTTAGGTACACTATTGTAGTGGTTGGATGGCTTATTTTTATGACAGTCATGAGTTGCCCGAGGATTGAGAGAACAGTGAACCAATCGTGTGTTTTGTGGCCACAACTGTTCAACAAGTGAGCGTAAGAGGAGACTTCAAGCTTCCCTCCTATCTTGACAATGACAATGCATATATGCCAATTTATGCCTCTCTTTTCAAACGATTCTGATTGTTTTTCGCGAAACTTTATTTGCAAAAACTTCATTGCCCAGTCAGATAATATAAAAACTTCGTCCTCCAGAAGAGAAAGCAAGACACTTTGCTTGCATTTTTCCTGATTGTGGGCGCGCATAATGTGTGCCTTCGGCTCCTTGACTTTCTCTTCATCGACAAGTGCATCATGTCGAAGATCATCCTCCTTCTCTTTATTACTTAGCTTGGAGGAATACTTTTCAATGGCAGAATGAATTCCCTGAATAGCTTCCTTTAATGCCTCACAGTCTTTACACGACATATGGTCGTGGCTACAATCTGTGCAATAATCAGCATCTGTGGGATCGCTCAGGGCGAATACAGTATGGTGGTCGGGACACTAGTCTTCCGCTTTGCAGTTATCTCGACAAGTCGTCTTCAAGTTAAACTTAGCCTCTTTCAGCCTTGAACGCGTTTGCACACACCACTCCTTGTTCGCCACCACTCCATGTTCGCCCCCTCTTCTTCCAATTCGTCTAAAATTTTGTGAAGTGCTTCAAAACCATCGACGCCATTTGCCGCCGTGTTATCAAGACCTTCAAGGATTTTCTTTGGGAGACTTCCTTAACTTCAAGATCTTGCAACGGTACGCACTATCTTTGGCATCACTAATTCTTCACCACTTTCAAGCCTGAATTTTCGGCCTCTATGGGCCACATCCTGGTAGTAGTACGGGCGAGATGTAAACAGCAACATCCTTAGGAGCCCTGTAAAAAGAACGTGATAGAAAAGGTTAATCACGAGAAGTCACCTTCATTACTTTCCCTCCTTCATCTTTGGCATCACTAATTCTTCACCACTTTCAAGTCACCTTCATTACTTTCCCTCCTTCATCTTTGGCATCACTAATTCTTCACCACTTTCAAGCCTGAATTTTCGGCCTCTATGGGCCACATCCTGGTAGTAGTACGGACGAGATGTAAATTCCAGAAAGTGATCCAACTGACATTTATCTAATCAAACTCGACGCTGTGGTATCTTGGCTAC